GGGGGGGGGTGACTACTCTGTTTTGTTTTCGAAAGCTCGTTGGCTACATCGTTTGGCCACGTCGCGTTGGGGGGGGCAACTGTTGTACGTGGAACAATATGTCGCCTTAATACTTGATCTGAGAGCGGGGCGCTCGTGCGGACCAGTAAAACTATCGCCACCGTTGGCACTCGTCGCCCACGTATCTCGGGCAACTAACTCCTCACCTCGGATAATTCCTCCAGGGCGTTTGCCGATTGCATACCTCCAGCGCAAAAGCCGCCGAACAGCAGGCCTAGCTCCAGCCTAGACCAACCAAGCTCCATCCTTGGGGACATCAAATGTCACGCGACGTGCACGGCTATTTGGGAGATTCTTGTAAAGGGGGAAAATGATGACTTGACAACGATACGGTTAGCCGCTGCGGTTTTAAGTGGGGGTAGGGACAAGACAAAACCACACTCTGCAAATCCGCGCTTTCTCTCGAGTACCTTTTCTTTTACCCGATTGATTTATCGGATTGCGTACCCTTTTGGGGCAGTTGGCATGTGAGTACGGAAGGCGTCCGCGTCAGTTGGGGCCGTACGGATATGTACTGAGCAGAGACGAACGTTTTTTTCTACATGTGAAGATGACAACAGCAACAACAACAACAACAACAACAATCTGCTCTCTCTATCTAAGACCACGACGAGATTGCAGTGGTCAATACCCCCCCCCCCGCCCCCCCGACTTTTCTATCGCCCCTCCTTTGAAAGGAACCACCCCCTCCCCCCAGGTAAAAAGCAGCGATCCCCCCGCGTCCACCCTCACCGGATGATCTCCAAATTTTGACGAACTTTAAGGCAAAGAAGCCTGGCCCTCGATATGCTGGTCTCGTCGCGAGCCTTGATGAACCCGGTCACGCAGGCGTCGACAGCCGAGGAAAGCGAGTGGCACACGAACTGCGGCGCCGCGTCGACAAGCGGAAGAGAGAAAAGAGAGAGTTTCGAGAAAAATATATACTCAAGTCGAACGAATCAGCAAAGTAAGATAGTGCCGTGTGTCGACGGGGGGGGGGGGGATGGATGGGAGCGATCGATGGCGTATAGTTCAGAATGTGGTCGCCACATCGGGCAAGAATACAAGCTCGGCAACATCCTCAGAAATGATTTCTCCCCGTTCCGACTCTTTGCCAATGTCTTCTTCTATTTAATATAGTAAAAGACAACAAGGGGCGGGGGGGTGTACTCATAGTCGTGCATGCCGTAGTCGTTAGACCATTGACCTCGCATCCCTACAAAGCCGGGACGGAGCACGCCGGATTCTCACCGGACCAGGCTCTCACATCACCAAGCGCGAAGAGCCGTGAGGTATTCGGCGAGTCGCCTGAAGGGTGCGCTTCATCCTGCTAAGGGTGTTCGGCATCTTGTGCTTACTTCCTTGCGTACGGATGACAGCTGCGTATGACTTAATGTATTTTCTGGTGCTTCACTTCCAGAGACAGCTGTAAGCACGTAAGCTGTATGCTCTTAGTATTGCCTCCGGCCTCTCTTTGTGCTTTTCTTCTTTCTTTCTTTCTTGTTCTCCATGCCCTCTCTACGATGATCTTGGACGATACCTCGAGCTCCTTGTTATTTTTGTTTTTTCCTTTGCTGGCTGCCTGCCACCTCTGCTGCCTCTTTGGTGCGGTGCCTACCCTACACTAATGCGCTGGTGCATACTGCACTGCTGTAGTACCTGGTACTGGTGTACGTTGTCCTTCGATTTTTTATTTTTTTTTGTGGGAATATATATGTGTTTGTTTTTCGCCCCCCGTCTTGCTGCACCCCCTGGGGTGTGGTGCAGGGCGGGGGATGCCTGGTCGGCGGGAACCCGGCACGGAACCCTCCGGCGTTGTAGGCGGGTGTGGGAAGCGTTCCCCGTTCTCCTTTTATTTTATTTTGATCGGTCTCCTCGACGCTCTTTCTCGTTTGGTGCGGTAGCTGGTCTTTCTTTCTATCATTTTGTTTCTCTTCCGAGTGGTTTTTGTACCCTATTTTTTTCTGTTTCTTCGTGGGGTCGTGTATGCCGGGTTTTGAGACCACGGGCTCCCAATTTTGTTTTTTAGAGCTAATGTGAGAAACAACAACAACAACTGTGTAACTGCCTCGAGGGTGCTTGACCATTTCAACACAACGTGGTGCGATCATCCCCCTTGCGCGGATTGAGGCTTCTCCACCCCGCACAACATGATCTACTCGACCACCATAATGGTTACCGCCAAAAAAAAATAGAGGTAACAAAACAAACGGTAACCTGGTTGCCGAGTTCACGAAGTGAATTGGCTTGTTTTACAACGTCGTTGCCAAGCGACGAAAACCCAATCCCGATGGCAAACATCGGGGGGGGGGCGGGCAAGAACGAAATCATGGCCAAATATTCTCTGCCCTTCAGTTCTTCGACTGCAACGTATTTCTTCGAACCACACGGCAGAGTACTCTCAACAGCAAGCCAACAACGACGACAACACCATCAACAACAACAAGAAGCCACGCGTCCGCCTGCCAAAAAAAAACAAGTTAAGACGAACCCCATGGCCGACGCGCGCACACCACTCACACCTGAGCACGGAGCGCTCCCTCTCTGGTGGCGAGGCGGGGGTACGGCAGCAGAGAAGCCACCAGGGCGGTGACCCCCCCCTCGACGTGGACCCGAACGAACGTAACCGCGGAGCCCCACCAGGAGAGGGAAAGCCCGTCGTCGGACATCTTCCCTAGGACAAGGAGCGCCACACCCATGCAACCGAATTTCTTGCCGAGAGACGTCAACCGTCGGCTCCTGCGAGGATCCACGAAAGCAGCAGCAGCAGCAGCAGCAGCAGCAGCAGCAGCAGCAGCAGCAGCAGCAGCAGTAGCAACAGCGGCAGCAACAGCAGCAACAGCAGCAGCAGTAGCAACACCGGCACCAACAGCGGCAGAAGCAAGTGACATGATAGCGGCGTTAGTTTTTCCTGTGTCGTGTGCGGGGGAGCGAGTTTGTTGCACGGTATCTAACCCCTTCGGTTGCTGATAGCTGTCCACGAACAAGAATTTCATGATGATCGTTTTCTTTTGTAACGTGCTGGAATGGGAGCGGTGGCCTGAGGTTTTGAGAAAAATATCCACAGCTGCGCCGTGTAGTGACGGTGGTGAATCCATGTCGTGTTGTTGGGCTAAGGGAACTAGGAACGAGCTTCGGGGCAACGAACATAACTTCTTTTATGGCAGACACGTGGACAAATCCGGAGGGGCCCCTTGTGCTGTAGGATCAAGAGCAAACAACGATGTGCTCGCTTCCTCGCATCTCCAAGGGGATCCGTAGTGAGAACAGTGGTCCATGGCTAGCCAACACCGTAACCGACGGTAAATCCCCCCGACCCACCCACACATGTCATCCGTACGCAAGGGAGAAATCACAAGATTGCAGCGCACCCTTCATGCGACTCGCCGAATACCTCGCGGCGCTCCGCGTTTGGTGACGTGAGCGCCTGGTCTGGTGAGAACCCGGCGTGCTCCGTCCCGGCTTCGTAGGGATGCGAGGTCAATGGTCGAACGACTACGGCATGCACGATTATGTACATCCCCCCACCCCCCCACCCGTCACCCCGTTGAAAATGACATCAGCGCCCACGCGCGGCATCTCACCTGAGGACCAGAAAGACTGCCGCGAAAAATCCTGCTCCCGCGGGGAAACGCCCCCACTGCATCAGCCACCGCGGAAGTATAGCGCAGATTGCCCCAACCAGAGCTCCGTGTGTCATCATCTGCGAGGTGCATGCGTATTCGGTCGCAGCATACGCTAGTCTCAGAAAATGTACACAAAAAGTACAAAACACTGCCCGTTCGTTGTTGTTCATTGCATGCTAATGATAATGCTTGACATACCGTAGATGACGCAATATAACACATCCCCTAGACCGATTCTTGAATCTCGAGTACTCCACGACCAAGAGGGTGCATGAATCAAACGATACGTTCTTTTGAAGCTCTCGACGAGGCGGCTCCCACGCTGCCGTTCTCGGCACCGCCACTCTTATCTTGCTGCCTGCAGATTAGAGCAATCGAGCTTTGAAAATTGGTGCGGGGGATGTGGTATCTCGTTTCACCTACTGGTGTTGCCGGGGGTTCAAAATAATGCATGCCACACGGGTTTTGTACGGGATTGTGTGTAGCGCCGGGGAGCCCGGGGGGAGAAGTTGGAGCTCCGAGAGCGAATGACGGGTTGACATACATGCGGCTGAATCGGGGGCGCTACAGCTCCCTGACATGGCAACAGCCGAAACCGGTGGTTTCTGAGGCATAATGCGTTGCGGGGGCGTCGGCTACCGCCCTAGACCCCGGCATCGGCCCCCTTTCCATAGCAGTGGTGGGCCGTACCGCCTCTGTCTTCAAGGCAGCGGGTAGTGTCGGTCATTTCCACAGCGACGGCGGGCGGTTGGGACTTAATCCTTGCAGCCGGCACCGGCTGCTGCAACGGCATGTCGCCCACCGCAACCGGCGGCGATGGGTTCACCAGCGGGTCCTGCTGCTGTTGCTGCTGCTGCTGCTGCTGCGAAGAGCTCGACGGAAGGACATGGGGGGTCGCGCCACTACCAGGGACGCAGGAAGGTGCAGTATGGTGCACCAGGAAATAGCATGCCGTTGTTTCAGCAGCCGTAGGGTGTCGATGGGTTTGGATCTCCGTACCCGTTGCAGACCCCTTTCTTGGGCCCCTGGTCGGGAGCGTGGCCGAGGCCGCTGCCACAGGACCCGATCACAGCAGTAGCCTCTGCACACTGCCATCCGCCACTATGGTGCAATGCCACCTCATACCGCTGCACCGCCAGCAAAGGAGGCGCAGCCTATGTTCTACCCTTCTGAGCCCTGAGTTAGAACGTGCACGTCAGATCTTGTGGCGCACGCTCTCTCTCTCCAGCTCTTCGCAACAGCAGCAGCAGGACCCGCTGGCGAACCCATCGCCGCCGGTTGCGGTGGCCGACATGCCGTTGCAGCCGGTACCGCCGCAGCCGGTGCTGGCTGCAGAGATTGAGCCGCCACCGCCCGCCGCCACCGTGAAAACGGAGGCGCCGCCCCCCACTACCGTTATGAAAAAGGAGCCGATGCCGGCTTCTGGGGCGGTGCCGACGCCACCGCATTTTGCCTCAGGAACCACCGGTCAATGTAATAGCGCCGTTTGAATGAGCGTTGTCTAAGTGAGCGCTTCATTGAAAGTTGGAATTTTCGTTGATACGGATAGCTGTCATGTCTAGTGGCATGAAGGAAGATTAGAATCCCAGCCCCGCCCTTGCTCTCTGTGAGTGAGTGCTGAGCGGACCTTGTCTACGACGGCAAAGACGGCAAAAACAAGAGATCAAACCACCACTGCTGTGACTAAGCTAGGAGCAGCGGATCCGCCCCCATTATTTCTCTGTTCCTCCGTGACAGGTACGCGTGATGCCGTATTTGTCTCACGTTGAGAGACGAACAAATACACGAGAAAAGTACAAACACACGTACTGCAGAACCAAACCAAAAAATAATGTAACTATCAAACCTAAAGAACAAAAAAACACATCTAACAAGTGATCAACTCAAGCCTTACGATGCATACAAATAAACCCCGTCTACAGACAGAGCAACAACGGAAGGCTACAACCATTTTTCTTCTCCCGTCGTTCTCACCAAAGATCTGGAGATGGTATGCCCCGCGGAGCCTCCGACGCAAACGATGGCCGTCACCCCGGCAAAGAACGACAGTCCTCCCTCGAACGGCCCGAATCCTAGCCACAAGAAGACCAATCCCAGGGACAGCGTCGTGCGGAGCCCGGCCTCGACGTTGACCCGAAAATCGCTCGGGGGGCGATACGCCGGCATTTTCTTCTTGTCGGCGAAGTAGGCGGAGGAGCGAAGGGAGAAATGGGAGAGAACAGGGAGGCGTTCTGTGGTGTTTGTTCGATCGCAACAACACTCCCTGGCATTACTGCTGTTTTCTCGGTTCAAAGGTGTTGACTGTTGACTCATAATAGTTTTTTTTTGAAAAAGTGTGGCCCGTTAGGGGTACGCGTTTTGTTTTGTTTTGCAAAAAAGAAGCTGTTTAGAGGGATCGTGTGTGGAGTATGTGCGCACGAGAAAAAGAATGATTTTCATGCACAGGGGCGTGAAAATTCGCCATGGCTGTCTGTCTGTCTGTCTGGTGTCTGTGCGCCCTAAATACCCAGCAGACTCGAGCCCATTTCACCATCTCGGCACCAAATTGCAAACTAAAACTTGCGCACAACAAGTAACATTTTGCCCGAGCTGTCCCAACCGCTACCTTTGCAATCCGTGGTCGGTGTCTCGAGATAGCACACCGTTTGTGCAAATATATA